AAAAGTAAATTACAACTAGTTAATTATTTTAATTTTCTTAGGTAAATTTTAAATTTGATCTTATAAAAACCAAATTAAAAAAATAATGAAAGGCTTTTTATAATTATTTTCAAAATAATAATTTTTTTAAATTCAGCTTCGTAATAGAAATTTAAATACTATAATTAATTAAACTTTTAAAGGTAAAGCAGGCAATTTGCTATAAAATTTACAAGGAGATTATTTTTAGTTTGATAATAAAAATATAAGATTAATTTAATTAATGAAATTTGATTTATGACTATAAACAAACAAAAAAATAATAAAAAGTATAAAACAAATTTATAAATAGTTTTATTTCATTTTTATGTTTATTAATTAATTTTATCTTAATTTTACTTTATTTAAATTAATTTCTTTGATAAAACAATAAATAAATAAATAAATATTTTCAGAGAAGAAATTTTAGCAAATTATTATCTACAAAATTCTTTAAATTATTTTTTATCTTATCATTTAATGTCATATCTCACAAGACTCTTTGCATGAAATATTTCATAGTATTTATGAAAATTTCTTCTTTTTATAAATAAAAAATGCTGATCGTTCATTATTGATAAAAGTAATTTTACTCTAAAAAATTGACAACTTTTAATGTTTTTAAATTCTAAAGATTCTTAATATTTTTAAAAAATTCTAGTCTTTACTCCATTAATAATATCCTAAAGTAAAGCTCTAATGTTTTCAAATTTTTGCATTGGCATACATATCTCATAATCTCTTCTATAAATTCTATTGATGTTTTTTAATAACTGAAAAATTTATGATAAATAAATAAAATTATGAAAATTTAATTACTTAGAGAAGTTCAAAGTAAGTTTTTCTAATACATCAGTAAACGATTAAATATTCTAATTGAATCTAAGTGCTGATTTTTAATTTAGCCATGTTGTACTTTTAAAATTATATTTTATTGAATACATTTAATTTTATAATAATTTTTTTTATTAGATTAAGTAATCAATAAAAATACTTTGAGTAGAGATTTAAATTTAAGGTTTTAATTTCAGGACAATTTTTAATCAAAATTGAAATGCAATCGTTTTCTAAACTATAAAGATAATTAATTTTAAACTCATATTTAAACTTTATTTTACTTTGAATTAAGTTATAAATTAAGTTATTATAATTTTTTTTAAGTATTGTTTTTGTAAAATTTTTCTATATATTCAAATTCAATTAAACCTAATTATCTTAAAAAATATGTTAATTTTTAAAGGATATTTATTATTAAGAATTTATTTACTAACTTATTGATAGTCCAAGTTTTTCTAGATTTTTTAGATTTGAAATGGTTTCAATGATTTATTTAAAACCTTTCTATGAAACCTAATTTGGTCTGAAAAATACTTTAAAATGAAAAACCATTTTAATCAAATTTTACTCATCTAATTAAAAGGTTAGAATTTAAATGTTTTTCATCTAATTCAAAGTTTCACAAATACTATGAATTCCAATATCTGTTATTTCATTTACCCTATTTAAAGTCAAGAAAATTATTTAACAAAACCTATAATTATAAATTGTAAATATACCATACCCTTGAATATTTAAGTCTAACTCTTATAATTTTTCCAATAGAATGATTGGCTTAATCAAGTCTTAAATCCCTTAATCTGATATTCTATTTGCACTAAATAAATAATATTTTTATTTTATAATATTAAAAATTTATTTTTTACGCTTAAATGTCAATTTGTAATTATTAAATGTTTAACAGATATTAAAATGCTTATCCTAGCTAACTAGCTCCTTGTGCTCCTATATTATGGCAACTTAAAAAATATAATTATAGCTTTTTAAAAAAGAAAATAATAATATATTATTTTACGTAGGAATCTGCAATTTTAGAATTTTCAAATTAGTACACTTTTTCAAAGCTTTTGTTAGTCCTTAAACTCCCTCAATACCCATAAACTCAGAATCAGAAATATCATATTTTTGTTAAAGTTATTTTGCAATAAGCTTTGAAGGTAAAGTCATTTAAATATCGTCCAATTTATAAAGACTTTTAAAATTTTAATTAAACAAAGCATCTTCAAAATAAATAAATAAATTTACTGGATGACCATATCATTATAAAAATCTGTTTTGCTCTATTTTATAAAGTATTTTAATCAAATTATTTAAAATTCAAATAAATAACTTTAGATTTAGGTAAAAGTTGTCCCATTATTTTAAATCTATTTATTCTATTTTAAATTATTTTTATCTTAGATAAAAAAAATAAGATTTGATTTATATGTCAATTTTTATAAAAACTTTTTTAATTTAATTCTTTTGTTTCAAAATTTATCTGCATTATTTATTTGCTATTTTTAATTTAATTTTAATTTATTAAAAAATGAAAGAAAAAAAAATTTTGTATTCTTAAAATTATTAAATTAAATTTTATTGCTAATCCTGTAATTAAAATACCACCAACTGTGTTTGTAGGTACAGATAGATGGTGATATTTCATTTAATTTTTATGATTTTAAGCTAATTTGATTTTCATTCATTTTTAATAAAATTTTCCATTCATTTTTATAAACAATTACTTTTTTTAAAATATATATCAATAACTCCCTTAATTTTCAAATATATATCTCATTTATTATTAACTATGATTTATACATTAATTTTTTTAAGACTCCCAAATATCAATAATAGTTTACATATTTAATTATTTAATTAAAAATTTTCATTTAAAAGTTTGTCTTTATTATGTTTTGTGAGTCTGACTTTACTAGTGTTTGTATTAATTCTTGTTATTTTTCAATAAAAATTTAATTATAATTTTAAATGTTAACTTTTATTATTTTAAGAAATTTAAATTTCAAATAATAATATTATGCAAGAATATATCAGGTAATATTCTTAAGTTTATGTTTTTTAATCTACAAAAATAATAATAAGTTTATTTTTAAACCTTAAATTTATAAGTAGAAATAGAAGATTTTAATGAAGCATATTTTTATAAAAAAACTAACTACTGGTACATAGATAATTATGAAGTACTAACTAATAATGAATGAATTATTTGATTGGAATATTTTATAAAGTAATCAGAGGTTAGATCTGTTAGCAGGGAAGCCGAGAGCGGTAGCAATCTTTGAACCGTATTCAGCATCGCACTTGTAGAAGATTCTGACTTATCTTTCTTGGATATCTCTGTTAGCATTCTTAATGTGGCCAACAATGTTGCTTACGGTGTTAGATTTATCCTTATCTGACATGACCTTACGGAACAAAGCACCGGGTTGAGAGAAGTCATCGTTGGGGTGAGCGGGTTTGAAACGACCTTTTTTATTTGTAAAAATTAAATTAAGTACTTGTTTTAAGACTTTTAATATGATAATTAATTACCAACTAAACCAGTGACTCTTTGGGTAGAGAGCTTGGTTTCGGGTCTAACCTTGTAGTTGTGGAAAGTGGTAGGTTCGTAGTTGACTCTAGATCCTTGATTACCGTTGACGCACATGGGACCATCACGTTAGTTGTTGGATACTCTGGCTCTGTAGGGGCAGTTAACGGGAATTTGATCGTAGTTAGCACCGAGTCTGTGTCTGTGGGTATCGGGATAAGAGAAGAGACGACCTTAGAGCATCTTATCCAAAGAGGGTTCCATACCAGGGACTAAGTGGGAAGGAGAGAAAGCAGATTATTCAGTTTCAGCAAAGTAGTTTTCAGGATTTCTGTTTAAGACGAGCTTACCAACAGGGATCAAAGGATAGTCACCATGGGGCCAGACCTTGGTAACATCGAAAATGTTCCATCTGTACTTGTAGCCATCGTTAATGGGCATAACTTAGACGTTTAAGGTCCAAGAAGCGCTACCACCTAATTTTGTTTAATATTAACGATTAGAATATACTAAATTAAATCATTTTATTTTATTTACCTTAAGCAATGTGCTTGAAGAGGTCTTCAGTAGCGTAGTCAGGGTTGGTAGACTTAAGGGCATCAGCTTCAGCAGCAGTGAAGTTCTTAATACCAGAGTCAGTCTTGAAGTGGAGCTTAACCCAGAAGGCTTCACCTTATTCATTAACCCACTTGAAGGTGTGAGAAGAGTAACCGTTCATTCTTCTGTAACCATCGGGAGTACCTCTGTCAGAGAACAAAATGGTAACCTATTAATTAGAATTAAAATATTAAGTAAGCAAATAAATAATATAAAAGAAGCAATATTTCAAAATTTTAATTTAGTTTGAGCGTGTAAATTGAATTAGTAAATATTAAATAAATAGACAATTCTTCTTTATTGTTTTACATTCTTTTCTTACAATTTAATTAAATTTATAAAGTTGGAATATTTATTTCTACTTAAAATCAGTTGAATCATTCATTCATATTATTTTCATAAAACATGCGAATAAGTAATTAATCAATTTTTGCATATTTAAAATCTAATTATAAGCTTATTTGAGTATAATTCTAGTTTATTTTATTTAGCTTTAATAATTTATGCTGAGTATTCTAATATTTTTTTAAAAATGGTAACAGCAATATCTTAGATAGAAAATTCAAGAAACAAACTTAAATTTGAAGGAAAATTTAAATTTTATAAAATGAGCAGGCTGTGTGATAATTGCGTAAAATAAGGACTTAATTAAAAATTTTTTAAATTATGGAATGATTCAATCGAAATAAGAATTTTTCTAAATGTAAAAAAGAAGAAATTAATAATATTATCAATATTTATTTCCATCAAATAATTGTATTGTTTCAACTAATGTTCCTTTTACATTTCTTTTAATTTAATTATTAAATTTGCATTATTTTAAATTAATTCATTTAATAGACTAGTTTGTTTGTTTGTTTATTTCTTTATTGATTTCTTAGTTTGTTTGTTTGTTTATTTCATATATCTATCAACTCATTAACAAGAAGAAAAGAAAATTAAAGTAAACAACAAAATTAATCAATTGTCTTATTCATTACCTAGTGAGCAGATTCAGGAACCTAGGAAAGGAAGTCCCAGAACATGTTAGCGCACTTGAGGTTGGTTTGAGGGTTTCTCTTTTGGGTGTGAATGAAGTCAGGGAATTTGATGGGGTCTCTAATGAAGAAGACGGGAGTGTTGTTACCAACCTTTATTTATTTTAATGTAGTTAGTTAGTAAGTTATTTGATATATATATTAACTATTTAATGATGTTATTGAAGTGAATAGACTCTACTTTACTTTAAATTGTCTTGCTCAAAGTTTATTATAATCCAAAACAATTAATCATTTTGTTTTCATTTCAAATTTTTAAAAGATCTCCTATAAAACATTCATTCATATTTTTAAATCTTTGAATGAAATTACTGTCTCCTTAGTGGATCAAATAAACTATGCAATTTGTTTTATCTTAAAGTATTTTGTATAATTCTTATGCTATGGTTTAATAGATTTGTTTGTCAACAATCATTCATATTGCTTGTTAGCAAAGTATCAATCAACTCACTTCAATAAATTTCTTTTTGATAAATTAATTATTAACGTTTTTACCATATCCCAATTGCCTTCTTCAGTGTAGAACTTGACTGCGAAACCACGAGGATCACGTTCAGTATCAGCAGAACCCTTTTCACCACCAACGGTAGAGAATCTGGTGAAGACGGGAGTTCTCTTACCAACAGTTTCGAAGACCTTGGCCTTGCAGAACTTGGTAACGTCATGGGTAACTTCGAAGTAACCCCAAGCACCAGCACCTTTGGCGTGGACGACTCTTTCAGGGATTCTTTCTCTGTCAAAGTGAGCCAACTTATCAATAAGATGGAAGTCTTATAATAAGACGGGACCGTATTCACCTGCAGTGACGGAATTTTGGTTGTCATCAACTGGAGAACCAGTAGAGGTTGTCAATACTGATGTATTCTTTGTGTCAGTCATTTCTTCTTTCCTTCAGTTTTTCTTTAATTAATTGATAATTATTTATATATTTTAATTATAAAATTCGATCTTATCTTCGCTATTTGATATTTTCCTTCTTCTTATTATTATTAAAGATTAGAAAGCTATTTATTAATTAATTGATTGATTGATTGATTGCTTGCTAACAAATGGCTTATTGATTTGTTTGATTTTTGATTATTTACCGATCTATTTATTTTTCATTGATTAATCTATCAATCAATAAGTAGTTTATCATCATCATTTTCGATTTCGTCATTTCTAATTTTATATACCATCATCGTGATCGTCAAGTAATAAATACATTGATAAATCAATAAATAAATAGATACACTTTGTTTTAAAGTTTCGAAACATCAAATCTAATCAAAAATAGTTTGTCTTCTACATTGCTATTAAAAATCTTAGCATAATTTTTTTAAAATTTTATAATCGTTTTCATGTCTATTTATTTATTAATCATTCTAAAACTGAAATTTATAGCAGCTGTTCTACCTTTCATTCAAACTTATTTTAAAATAAATCTAGAAATTTCATCTTTCAACTTGTATATTCGTTTATAATTATAGATTATCATACAAACCATTTGAAAATTAAATAATATCTTTATATATTTTTATTATCAATTGTTCAGTCTTTTTCTAGGACTATTTCATATCAACTTTGTCCGTTTTTTAATTTAAATTTTTGAATAGTTTTTATTCTATTATAGCTTATCTGTGCTAAAAATCTATTTGACTAATTATTTACTCATTTACTTTTTGTGTTTAAAATTAAAAATTTTAAATTTGTTTATGGAAATGTTTGTTATTAACTTTTAATTGATTGTTAAGCAATATTTCAATTACTAAATATAACAATGTCCTATTTATATTTCAACATTATAAACTTAACTGTATTTTCTGATTAATTAAAAAAATATTCAATTTACAGATAATATCTAAAAACTTCAATTTTAATCTGTTTTGATTTTTAAAATTTTATGTTGATTTTAAAGAGCAGTGTAAAAAAAAATTACATTAGCTAATTAGTACATGAAAAATAAGAATAATTTATAATTATTGAGCAAAAAATAATTGAAAATTTTAATTATTTGAATAATTTACTGATTAATTTGATTTAAAAAACTAAAGTCATATATATTTATAGGAATTTGTAATTAGAAATCTATATCTTTTGTTTTTATATATTTTAATTATATCTGATAAGAATAATTGCAAATAAGATTTTTCATTTAAAAGGAATAGAAGTGACGTATTTTATTCAGATTCAAAAATATTGTATCTTACGCAATAGCTGACATTATAAATTCATTCTTTCAGGTATTTATTTATTTACAAAATCAATCGATCAATCATACTGAGTAAGATTAAATTCTGTCTAAGAAAATTATTACGCACTTTGTAGTCTTCCAAATTCACCAAAATAGATTACATATTTAAAACAATTAATTATAATTCCTTCACCAAATTTCTTCCATCTTATATATCAGCATTCCTATTAATAGCTTTAATCTTTCAGAAATTCATAAAATATCATATAATATCTAAGCTTATTTATAAAGCCTAAAGTAATATCTTTCATTCTAACTATCTTTCAATATTTCTAATTAACTATAAAAAAAATAAAAATTAATTGATCTGATAGGAATTTTCATTCATTTTTTGAGGTGTTTTTGATAAAAAGAAATCAAACTCTTTAAAAATTGTAATTATATCAGGCTCTAATCATGTAAAGTTTTATATATTTTATTCTTCATTTTTTATGTGATTTTCTATAAAAAAATAATTATAAATAGCTTTTGAAAATAACATTTTAATAATTTTAAATAAAAACAGGAGTATGAATTTGAATTTCAAATAAAATTTATTCATTCAAGTAATATTATTTTAATTATAAAATTTCTTGATTTTTATAAACAAAAAAATAGTTCTTGTATATGGATAGTGAGTGAATATATTTAATTTAATTGTTTGCTAGAAAGACTAGTTTATAAAAAATTTATAGTTAGATAAAAAGGGAAACTTTGCTTATCATTAAGCAATTATTAATTGTTGAAGGATTCTTATTTTTTATGTAAATCAATCTTTTAAATATGAATTAAGTATTTTAATATAGTTTTTATCTTATCTTTTTTTATATAAATAAAACTTTTAATTTTTAATCATTATAATAATTGTTAATTTAAAAATAGGTTAAAATACCAAAATAATTTTTGCTATTTTTATAAATGAATACTTTAACTATAATGTACATAATATTTTTAAAACTAGTTTAGTTTATACTTATTTGATACTTATATATTAATAAGAAATCAATTTATATGTTAAAGTAAAAGCATTTAGCATAAATTAAAATAAATAAGTCAAATGAAATTGTTTTATAATTCAATTAAATAGCTCAATTATGATTATCTGAAAAAATATATTGATTTGATTTGAATAGAATTATTTTTATATCATTTCTAAGCTTAAGTAGTAGAGTGTTAGACTTCCATCTCTTCAAATGTTTTAGAAAAGTGCTTTTTTATTACGTCATTCTTTAAATTTCTCCAGTATTCCTTATATCTTCTGTCTAATTTATTATAGCAAATCCATAAACACTCATCATAAACTCCTAAAGTGCTACCTTTTTCTTATTCAACTTTTTTTTTGCAGCTTTTTGTACACATTTTCATTTTATTTTCAGAAAGATAATTAATACTATCTAAATATTTAATGACATCATCAAGAGGAGCTTTGCATTTAACTTTACATTCTCTCAACTCCTCTGCGGTATCCTCAGTTATATTATTAAAATCAACAGCTTGGTAACAATTTTTTTCACATAAAACCATTTCTTTCTTTTAATTTTAGCAAAAATGAGTAAAAATAGATAAAAAAATAATAATTATGATAAATGAGATAATTAATACTCTTATTGGCAACATGTTTTCTAACTTTTTTTTGCTCATAATTGTAAGCAGCTATTTTAAATGAACTTTATCTTTTATTTAATTTTACTGCTCTTCCTATAAATTATCATTAAAAAAAGAGCCATAATACTCCTCTTTACTTTAAAAAATATCAAACATCTATTTTTGTTTAGTTAGAAAATTAATCAAATTTAAATACCAATTTTCAATATCTAAATAACTTTATAAATTAATTCATAAAAATCTTAGAGAAAATTCTATTAGAAAAATAAAATAATATATCAAATTTATTTATTTATTTATTTTTATAACTTTAATTTATAATTTTATTTTAATTTGAATCTATTTTAAAAATACTTCTTAGACAAAAATTATTTATTTATAAATATTCTAAATATAATTACTTATCTAAATAATATTAATGTTTATTTATTGAATTTTCTTTTTGATCATTAAAATTTCTAAATATCTATTTTTTAATTTTAATAGATTTATTTACTTTTAATTAATCTAATTTTGAAATAAGATTTTTATATTTAAAAGTGTTAAATTAAACTTGATTGAAAACTTTAACGTTTCATCACTTATTTATTATGTATTTACTAGTTTTTAATCAAGTATTTAGAATTATATTAAATTTATTGTTAATGTTTCATATAATATTGAGAGTATACTTTCTTGAATTTGCTTAAATATATTAGATTATTGTTTAATGTATTTTGTTTCAGCTGAGTTTTAATTATTGCCTTCATTATATATTATTTGATGTAGCTTTAAATACCTTAATTTAAGGTTTTCTTAAAAATTTAGTTTTATACATTAATTAAAGAAAATTAATAACTTTTAATATAGTATCGAAATATCGAATATCGTATCAATCAATTTTTAAATATCGAAATATCGTATTGTATACAAAAAATGGATATCGTTACACCTCTAAATATAACACTAAAACTTTCAAATTATTTGATCATTTTTGGAGAAACCATAGGGTTTGCTTAAGAGGAATTAATTTATTTAACTAAATTTAATTTTTAAATTTTTTTATTTTTTATAAATAATTTACTTATTTACAAAAATATGAATGATATTAATAAATATAAAATCAATAATAAAATAAATCTATCTGTTTATATTTGAGGTTAAAAAACTTTATCAAAATATAATATTATTCAAATATTTAATATTTACTCATCCTTTTTTAGTCACATATTTATCAATTTAAAGACAACTAATCTTTTTGATTTAAGACACTTGCTTTTTATTTTGAATTTTTATAATCCATTCTTTGAGCTAAAAATTTAAAAATAAATTTGTGTAAATTTTAAATAAATATTAAAATAGAATAAACTTTTAAATTATAAATTAATTCTTAAATTTATTAATATAATAGCATTAGTGGTATAAATAAGATAAAAAAATAAATCAAACAAAAGCTATCAAATAAATTCAAAGATATTTATTGTTTTTAATTAGTTTTTAACTTTAAAAATATCACAATCTAAAACAAATAAACTGTTTTACTCAAGCTGAAGTGTCAAATTTGAGAGATTAATGAATTTTGCTAAAGCAAAACCTAAGCCTGATGTACCTTCATCACCAATTTAATTGCCACTTTTTAAATATTAAAGAAAAAATATATCATTAAATAGTTGATTTGAAGGAAAAAATGAAGAAACAATATGAAACAATAAGATTAATAAATTAATAATAAAAGCAAAAGTTGAAAATAAAATGATGAGCTAAATTAACAAAGAAAGAACAAAAAAAAGCCAGCACAATAAAAAGAAAAAGAAAAAAGAGCTTTATTGTTTTTAATTAGTTTTTATATTTAAAAATATCACAATCCTAAACAAATAAGCTGTTTTTACCTAAGGTCAAGTGTCAAATTTGAGAGATTAATACAATTTACTAAAGCAGAACCTAAGCCTGATACACCTTCATAACCAATTTAAAGAAAACTTTCCATTTGAAAATTTAGATCAATATTTTTTAATTTTTCAGCAAAATTTATAAATATTTTGATGACACACTTACTATTTTTCATTTAATGCATCAAAATATATCAGAAAATAAAATTTAAAAATATTAATTAAATGATTGCTAATAAATAGATAGCGATGACTATTTTTTAAAATTGCAAAGTGCAATAATAATAAATTAGATTTTTGTTGTTAATATATGCTAAAAATATAAATAAAATTTTTAATAATTACTAAAGAAAATATGTCCTTTAATAGAAGTAATTAAAATAAAACTATATCAAAAAAATGTTTACAGTTTAAAAATTTAAATATTTTGTAAAATAAAAGTAATTAATTAATTAATTATCTAAAAAAGTTGATACACATTTTAAATTACTGCTATAATATTAAGATTCAAATATATTTCTAATTGAGATTAAATTAATTAAAATATCAATGTTTTGGTTAATGAAATGGTTATTTATATAAGAAAAATTGTAAATTTATTTTCTTTTTTAAATAAATGATAAAAGGGTAGAAGAAAAAAATATATTATTTTATAATGAAAAACTTAAGATAAAATTTATAAATATTCAATATAAAAAAAGAATACTTAATAAATAGATTGACATTATTTTAATAACTAAATAAATAAAAAATATAAATTTAATTCTAATTTATCTCATTTGCTTTATGGCTTTTACTTTTTGGTTTTATTTTAAAATATTTTTGGCTAATCTTGTTTCTATTCATTGATAGTTTCTGAAATAGAAGAAGGACCATAATTACCTCCCTTTTTTTATGCAGTAAGAGGGATTTATTTCTCTTTACCGAATAATCTATAAAGTTTAAAGTCCTGTTTGATAGAATAATATTATGTTAGAATATTTAAATTTATAAAAAAGTATTTATTTTACATTAAATTCATCTAATATAAGTTTTTCATCATTGTATTCGGGTAATAACTCAAAGTCTAGCATATTCTTAACTTCATCAAATGGTATTATGCCATTAAGATGATCTAAACTTTACTAGAATAGTCTAGATTCCCAACCATTCATTTCTACTTCTACTTATTCCATTTGTTCATTTAAATACTAAACTAATATATGATGATATCTTAATCTTCTAAATCTTACAGTGGGGAAACATGCTGTTTATTCCCAATCGTATTCCATAAACTTTTTGAAAATTTGATTAATATAAACATGGCTGATTATAATTAAAATAATCAAAAAATGTTACTTTATCTTTATCTAAAATTCTAGGATTTACAAGTGCATGAAGATGCTAAATATCTAAATTATCATTAACCCATACACGCTTGTATAGATAATCTGGCTTAGCCAATACAATAAATCTTTTAGGGATACCAATTTAATTTGCTGCTAAATTAACTCTGCCTGATACTTCAGCATGGTATTTTAAATTCAAAATTTCGCTCTTTAAAGTTTATGTAAAGCCTTGAACTGGTAAACATTTTGATTCTAAATTAGTAAAATCTGGATGCTAGAAATCTATCAAATTGTAATCGAAAGTCTCCTAATTTTCTTTCAATTTTGCTAATTTTTAAGAAAATTTGACACCTTATCTAATTGTTTTCATACTAAACAGCTAATTAATTAATAATAATCAATCAATATCTTTATTAAAGATTTATATTCAAAAATATTCACTAAATATAATTAATTTATAGTTTTTAGTTCCTTTCTTTTCATTCTTTCTTTCATTTATTCATATATTCATTCTTTCGCAAAAGTAGGAGTTAGAAAGTTAATAAATACTTCATCAAAAATAATAAATAAATGAATGAATGTATATTTTTAGATTCTTAATAATTTATTTAAAATGCAAATATTAAAAATGTATTTATGTGAATTTTTAATTAATAGAAGAATATTTTCATTATCATTTTTAAAATTAATTCAAAAATATTAAATAAACCAAAAAATAAAAAAACATCCTTGGTGAGATTCGAACTCACAACCTTTGGCTTAGGAGGCCACTGCGCTACCATTGCGCCACAAGGATTTTAGTACAATATTTAATCCTGGATAACTAGTCTTTATATAATTAGCATAATTTCTTGTAGTAAAATTTTCTACCATCATATTAAAGTCATTATTATTTAAACACATTTTGTTATATTTATTTTAATTTTTGGTATGTTATTCATTTTTTATTTTTTTTTAGTTTTTATATTTTAAAATTTAAAAAAAAAAAAACATCCTTGGTGAGATTCGAACTCACAACCTTTGGCTTAGGAGGCCACTGCGCTACCATTGCGCCACAAGGATTTTAATTCAATATTATAGGCCAGATAGTGAGCCTTTATGTTTCGGAAAATTTGATCAATAAGCTCCTCAATTGAAGTTTATCTAAACAAAAACAAAGAAAAAAGCATTCATTTAGTTTTCATTAATTAATATAAAATAAAGAGGAAATAAATATCAAATTCAATACTGATAAAACATACAGTTATTTTATGCATGCATTAAAACTTAAATTTAAATTAATTTATTTATTTATCTAACAAGTCCTAGGTTTAACTTATGAAAAGATTTTCAGCAATTTTCAAAAAAAAGAAAAATTATTTTGCTAATCAAACTATTTCTGATTAAATTATTTAAAATGGATTTATTACTGAAGACTTATTTTAGCCAGCTAAATTACAAATTAAGAAAAGCGCTTCATGTTATTGATACTATACATGCTATAACAGGAGAGTATATATTTTCTTTTAAATTAAATGGATCAAATTTTATTAATTTTTTTGATTTCAAAAATAAATTACAAATAAATACTTTATGGTAAAATCTAAAATTTGTACAAATCGCTTACAAAAGAAATAAATTTTATAAATTTTAATATAAATTATTTAATTAATCTATTATAAATTGATTAAAGAATTCTTAAACTAGAATTGTTGAAAAAAAGAAAATATTTAAAATTAAATTTAAAAACAAGTATAAAAGGTGAAAATATAAAAACGTATTTTTGTTTAAAAAATATACAATTTAAGTAGTGTTTGTTTTAGAAACTAAGCTTAGATTTTGTAGTTTTTTGAATGCATTCACTTGATCAAGAGAGTATAAATGTATTTAGATATTGCTATAGAACCTCCAACAATAGCACAAAGAGTAACAATAAACTGAGTTAAAGATCTACTTTTTCTGTAGTGAAGCACTGTAATAGGGTCAAATTCATATCTGAAATTTACAGATGGTAATCTAAAGTCTCTAACACCACTAGTTTCTAATGAAGTAAATGAATATATGTTGTTATGTTCACTAAGCATATTTTCGAATACAGTATTTACTACTTTTAAATAGTAATCAGTATCCATTCCATGACCAGGATTGTGAATTGTTTTATCAAGAGGATTTGAAGATTTAGTATACTTTCCTAATGTCAAAGATCCATCTTCCTAAAATAAATAAATAAATAAAGTTTTTAAAAATGTCTTTGATAATTATTTTTAAAAATTTAATAGAATAAAATTAATAATAATATTTAAGTTATATTTTACTGTAGTAAATTCTAGAGTATGAATGGTGTGTCTTAAGTTGAAAATTAGATTAGAGTTCATCAAAAGTAAACCCTCATTATGGAATGAGACATGGAAGTTGCCTGGAACTTTCTTAACATAAAAATGACCATATATTTGGCACTTTTCTCTTTGATTTAATTATTATTACATTTCAATTAATGTTTGTTAGGAAAATACCTAAAATTATTTTAATTATATTTATTAAAAAATGATATGTTATTTTATTATTAATTTTACTCTATCTCCGGTGATGGTTTCATGACCGTAATTTTGTTAGAATAAGACTCTCTTCTTTCCCTAATCATGTTAGTTTTCATCTTATTAAGTGTTTTATACTTAGTCTTATTGTTACTGTTATTATTATTCGGTATTATTTGGTAAAGATTCTTCTTGGATTAATTCATTTTGTGAGTTATCTTATTGTCCATATTTCTATTCAGTTTAATTGATTTACTCGTTTAAATTCTAAGGAATAAATTGAATGTGAATAGTTTTTTTATTATTTTGGCTTATAAACTTTTAAGTGGTTGAGTCTTTAATCAACTCCAATGTTATGCTCCAATTTTTTTCCTCAAAAATATATTGTTACTAAACATCAAAATCAGGAATTGAAAGAAGAATACTCATTTGGTTATAAGGGCTTTTCTCTATAAAAATAGGAAATATGTGAATGCATTCTCTTTCATTCATAGTTTAAAGTCCTTCATTTTTAAAAAATTCTGACGTTTAAGCACTGTTTTGAATTTAGCTGAGAGTAGAATTTAATCTAACTTTATAAACAATAGATTCATTGCAAACTGGTCTGCTAATTTGCATTTAAAATAAAACTTTTTTGGTAGAAGGTATCTCGGATAAGTTTAAATAGTCAGCAGATGTTTAAAGACTAATCTCTTTAGGCTTTATGGCTTGCAATTAAATATAATACTTTTAAATCAAAATCTAAATTTACTACACTCTAGAAGTTATTTCATAATTTTATTGCATTAATGAATTTTCTTCTGGGTTAAACTAAATTTCATTTAATTCTGCTAGTATTTGATTAAAAAATTGTGTATCATTTTCATCCATAACATCATATATTCTAGGATCTATCTAGCTTTTAATTTACTCTACAATATTTGTTCTCTATAAAATCTCTATTAAATTATTTTGATCAGGAGGTGGTCTGAACACATTAACAGCGTTGCTCTATTTAACCTCTCCATCAAGCATCTAAACAGTTTTAAAATTTTCTTTTGTTCCTTCATTGCATTAGCTGATTTATTCTTTCATAGGTTCTAATTTTACACAAAGATAATATTAATTATTTAATAACTGTAATAATTTTTATTATTTATTCATTTCAAATGCTAAAATATTTTAAAACCTATTCAAAATATCTCAAAGCAAAAATGGATTTAAGCAGATTTATCAAATATGAGTTTAAATATTAAATTTAATGCAAAAATCTAACAATTTTTCTAAATTTAAACCCTTATGAACTAGTTTATAAATATAATGTAAAATAAATTACAAGGCCATCCTCTTTAAGCAAAAGCGATTAACACGTCAGAACAAGTTAAACAAATTTATCCTTCATACAGCTCTGCTCCATAACAAGATACGCTATTAGAAAATTGATTTTACACCTAGTTATTTGTTTTAACTGCTTCAAAGAATGGATTGCCAGGATAGAATTTCTACTCTTACTTCTTGATATCATTAGCAGAATCATAATTTATAAATTTTCCGAATTAATCTAGTCTAATTTTATGTACTGTCCAATGCATATCTTCAAGATGAGCTCCGCTAACATCTTGATAATCTACGCTTAGAGCCTTGCAAAATATTTCTTCAAATGTAATGTTTAAATTGACTCTTACTTTTTCATTAGGATTATAATTGTTGATAAAAGGAAAAGTTTTGTAATTTCCAAAAAAAACTTAGTATGTCTCGTAGATGACTAATGTAATCACTAAAAAAATAGTTGAAAATCCTATTAATCCTCCAATTAGAGTTTTTTCTGACTTTAAGTCATCCTACACCTTTCTAAAATAGTCGAATTATTTAAATCTTTCCATTTTCTTGCTTAAAAGCTAAATTAATTAATTAACAAACTGATTGAATATGCTTAACAATTTTTATTTTAGCTTAGCATTTTATAAAAATTTCAAATAATCAAAAGTATGCATATATCTTGCTAATTTCAAAACACATTAAACGTGTTTGTTTGATAAAAAACTAACAACAAAAAAAAATCTGATCAAAAATGGCTTTCATCAATTAAAATATTTTTTAATTATTACTTAAAGCCTTCCTAGATAAGCAATTGTTTTAATCTATTAGCCTAATTTACTAAATAAAATTTATATTCTTTAAAAAGAATTGAAAATACAAAGTAAATATAAGAATAAACTAACAAACAGTTAAGGAAATAAAAATATTAATTTTAATAAATTATGGTTAATTAATCTCTACATAGATACGATAAATAGTTAGTTATTTATTAAATTTTAATCAAATAATCAAAACTATTTTATTTATACCATTAATTTTTAAAATTGTGCAAAATTAAATATTTTAAAATAAAAATTTCTAAAAAAATTTATTTTAAATATTTCCTTTGAGGGGGTTTTAAGATGAGAGAATAAATAAATAAGGATTTATAGCAATTTAATCTTAATATTTACTAATGTTTATATAAGTTATTTTTGATAATGAAAATTTATTGGTTTATGTTTACTAACAAAGAAAATAATTATTACTTATTAAAATAATTCATAATTAAGTCAACATTTTTTTGTAAATTTGATTCAACAGAAATAAATTTGATTGATTATAGTTTGTTGATGTATTCTTATTTAGTTAGTATTTAATGTAAGTAATTTAGTATTATTTTTAATTGAGTTATTGTAAAATTTAATTAATTTATTCTAAACAAATATAGGAAAGTAAGTAAGTAAACTCAAAAATCAATTAATTATTTCTACTAAGCACATATAGTTTTGCTAACAAATAAAAAAATGAATTTTAGAAAGTTAGATTTGTTTTAATCACATTTCTTTTTTTATTTACAATAAAATTCAATTAAAGTTGGAACTAGATTAGGAGCATTTCTATCATTATTAATCATCTTAACTGTATTCTCTTATTTCATATATCTAACTTAGAGGTATTTTAACAATTAAATAGATCCAAAGTTTAGATCTCAAAATTTTGTAACTAATGATTATTCGGAAGTAGATCTTCATAATGACATAATTTCATTTAGATTCATGTATAATTAAACAACTACTATTGATGAATATTAGGCTTAAATGAACTAAACTTATATAGTTTATCAAGCATATTTCATTTAAGCTGTTAATTAAAAATTAAATTTTATACCATTAAGTATTATTTAATGTACGAATCCTACTCTTGTAAAATATAATTGTCTCGATCTTTAAAATTTAAATTAGCTTTATAAATTGAAAACTATTTTTGATGGTTCTTATAATACTTAGATAATGATACTAGCTTATGGATGTTTAACAACTGATAATTTCAAAACTTCTATTCCAAATAACTGTGCACAGTAAGAAGCAATAAATAATTTTCTTGATGCAGATTACAGTGAGTTTTATATAAAATTACGTACTGAACAGTACAATATTACTTCATAGCAATATTAAGTAAATTTCAAGCATTCGGTGATATTTACGGAATCTAACTCTTTTTAGATAGCAACTTTCAAAACATAAGAATAAAATACAAAAGTGAAATAAGGTTTCATTATTTAAACTGAAGAGGAATATTCAGCACCTTTTTAATATAATGCTTATACTTAGTAATTTAATAATAATAATAACTCTCCTTATATTCAAATAAATATGAGTATGGATGATGTTATTTAAATAGTTTAAATTTAATTTCCAACTTTTCCAGAAGTATTGGCTTTAGTAAATAGTTTATTTTCTATCCTTATGATGATTGGATATTTTTGTAGGAAATCTTCTTAAAGTTTAATACAAAAGGATTTTTTTACATTGTTCATGCAGAATTTGCATCAAGATACTTATGAATAAATATTAAAAGATAAAAGACTTTTAGATTATCAATAAACTATATATCCATAGATTTTAAATGATTAAAGTGGATAATAACAACTTATAGAACCTGAAAGACTAGATTAAACGAGTATTCCATAATTTGATTCTAAGTCAATTGAATTTTTAAATTAAACCAAGTTATCTAAAAAGAAAAGCGAGGCAATTTAAAAAGATTAGATCTAATAATTATCATTTCAAAAAGAATAAAACTAAAATATGATCTTCCCAATTATGAAAAATAATAACTTTTTATGTTTAAATGATAATAAATCTTTAATTGAAAATAAATAACAATATTTTCCTGAATTAAAAATGATATAACAAATAAACGAATAGCAGTAAGAAAATGAATAAATTGTAGATTTAACTTAAGTTTTTAAAGAGAAAAATCAAATTGAAAATAAATAAAATTATAATTAAAGAAAAGATCAATAAAAATAATAATAATAGGTTTAATACTCAGACTAAAATTTATTAAAAGATAATTTTTTAAAGCATGTTATTATTTTTAATCAACCGAAATAATCCAAAAAATAAGATAAAATTAATGAAATATAACAAACTTAAGAAATTCCTTTATTACATGATTATTTTGTAAAAAAATTATAAGCCATTTAAAATTCAAATACATTAAACTAAGTTAAAGAAATACTATTTTAAAGAAAGTAAAATACTATTTAAATTTATTATTTAATTTTTTATGTTTTTTGTTATAAAAATAGAAGAACTAAAAGTTTATGGATGAGCATCAAGAAATTATTCTAAAAAAATAAGACAAATAATTAAGTTGATTTTGCATAGATAGTAAAAGAAGAAATAGGGTAACAAGTTATAAAAAGTTTAGAGATATAAGAGTTATTCAAGGATATTATCTTTTTAAAAAAATCTATCTTGCTATTGCTTGATCGAGAACAAGTTTCAGCAATAAAATTAGTAGGATTTTCTCCATTAAACTGTAAATTTAAATAAATATTTAATATAATTTTATTTTAATTCTCAAAATAATATCTCTAAAAATAATAAAGAAAAATCGTATAAGAACTACTTCGAAGAACAACTTAATATTCTATAATCTGAAAACTTATAAGCTGAATTAATCTAAAAATATTTTTAGAGATTTAATAACAGATAATATTTAACTGATTTAGATAAAAGAATATACTCCTGTATAACAAAAATGCAAATAATTTGATTTTTAAAGATATAATAATTGAGCTTTAGAGTTACTTAAATGAGTTTAATTATTATATAATAAATAAATTTATAATAGAATAGTTAAAAAATATGTATTATATTATGATAACAATTACAAAAAATAAAAATATTCAAAACTCAAAAAAAAAAAATTGAGAAAATCTAAAATTTTTAAAAAATTTAAATTGTGAATATAATTATAAAAGTAACATAAATTAGTATATATTTATAAACAATAAAAACAATATTTTACCTTATTATTACTATAAATAATTTGTATTAGATTTCTATATTTGTATATTAATTTATTTATTTGCATTCAAACATTCACATAAACTATATTAAATAATAATTTCTTATTAAAAGCCATAGCAAATAAAGTAAATTAGATTGCTATTTAAAATGTAATACTTTTTCAACAAAGTATAATAAAAAAAGAATATTTATAAATACACTATAATTTACTTGTTTTTGAGTATTATTATTATTTATTATTAGATTTTTAATTAAAAAAATAAATAAGATAAAAATAAGTAGAAGTAATTATAAAATATGGATAGGCGATTATACATAAAAGTTAAAACAAATTTTGTTATAATTGTATTATTTTACTAAATTTGTATTACAGCAAGCTAACAATAACTGAATAGTTGTGGCATAGGATGCTAAGATTGTAATTAGAGCCTCCAGTGCATTTAATGTCTTGCAGATTTTTAACTGAGTGAGAATAGTTGTGTGTATAAAAACTGCTTGGAAGGATTATTCTTTTATAATAATAGCAAGAATGTGAGCTAAAATTAAGAAAATTGTGTGGCTGTTTGCCCCTTATAGTATAGTCAAAGCCTTAGTTAAAATACCTGCAATAGAGTTGAGAGTTGCTCATAAAGCTATTTTTCAGAGATAATTTTTGATAGCAGTGCTTCCAATCTTAAAAATTTGTTAGCATATGAAAATGAGACTATACTGATTGAATTAAGTAATAAGATTATCTTAGTTGATAGGTTAAATGGCTAAATTTAATTTCAAATACCTGTTTCAGAGAAATATATGGCAATTTATTACATTTAAAATTACATTATTGTGCTATAGTATGATTTATCTATTTTTAGATGGGATTTAATATCAAATAATTTAGCATATATTAATTAAATACAAACAAGTTCTTTTAATTATCAATTTTCTATCTATTTGAATTAAATTAAAAATTATGTCTTAGCATACATTGTTCAAAAAAATAATAATTTAATAGAGTTTTAATTAATTTTTACTCTACCAGATTTTACATCCTTGAATGCTAATTCCCACTCATATTCTTTCTCTAGTAATGTTTCTGTATAGATATTTAATAGCGCTATTATTTTAACTAACGAGAATGGGATCTTAATAGAAGAAGTTTCAGTTGGAGATAAAAATCAGATATTAATTTTGCCTTTTACATTTAAATAATTTAAATGCTCTTATAGAATTTAAACAGACTTATAAGATATCACAAAAAGCGCTTCTTCTTAAATTTATTACTTAATTTTTAAAAATAATTTTAATTTGTTTTAGATTGGCTAAAAAGATTGTGTTACTGTTTCTTTGCAGTCAAATCCACTGAAATTGCAAATTTTCCAGCTAAACAGCGAAGAATTTTTAATCATCTAATTTTAAAGCAGCGTAATCATAATGGACGAAAAAATGGTTTAATTGTAAAGTTTTAGCTTTATTTCTTAAAGCATTCTGCAATTAATTGTTATTGAATTTTAAGAAAAAACATAAGCCATTATCTTATTAGATAATTAAATTGTTTAGCAATTAGAGATATATTTAGAAAATTAAGTTATCCAGATTAAATTGCTAAATTAGATTGCAGTGATTATCGATAGTCCTAAGCAGTTAAAATATTTACCTGCTGTAACTCAATAAAATATTTAAGATAGACTATTAATAGTCGGAAATCAAATATAATCATTCATTTTAAATAAGAATATCTCCATTCAGAATAATTTGAGTGAAGAGAGACAATAGTATGTAATCTAGAATTATTATTTCAATTACCAAACAATTTAAAGTTAAATAAAACATACCCTTATTATGGATAATATTAATTTAATGGCTAACTGCGCAAATGAAGGAATATTTATTTGGGACATTTCTCATATTTATGATCCTCTTTTTATACATTCAATACTAGACTCAAATTAATCATGTCAAAAAATTTACTATTTAGCTAATTACGATATCTTAATTATTTATAATAATTCGATAACGGTCTTTTAAATTGACTCGTTTGCTTTCAAATAAATTTGGAAAATAAATGATGATTCTCAAGGTTTTATTCCTTAAATTTCAGTTTATTAATCTTATTGCGCAATTATATTTAACCAGAATTTATTTATATATAAAATAGACTAAGAGTAGTTAAGTTCTTTTTAATTTTCTAATTATACTGATTAAATATAATTCATTTCACTACAATCAAATAATCAAATAATTATATAATATTAGTAGTACTGTGCGTTATATTAATTAGATTACTAATAAAATTAAGTGAATTTCGTTTCAAGATATCAGGCATCTGATTAAATCGTTAAAACTAAAGTTAGAACATACCCTAACAATATCTTTGAGATTAATATGTATCTTTAGAATTAAATTTTTATAATTCTCAATTCAAATTTGCAATTAGTTTTGTAAATAAAAAACATCCCTCTAGCATAGTTATATGACTTCTCTTTTATATAATCTGATTCAACAGACGATTCTTATTTCTTATTAGGCAAAACTACACAAGCAAGTGCTTCTAACTAATTTGTAGGATACTGCTTTTTTAAGTCAAATCGATAAATTTCGCAAGCATGGGCAGCAATAGATGGGATTAAAATACTTAATATATAAAAATTGTAAAACAATATACTTCAAACATTTTACATAGTAACAATTTTATACAATTAATCAGCTTACTCTGCCATAATT